TTTCCCCTCCCCTCCCCCCTCTCTCTCTCTCTCTTCTCCTCAATAAAGTTATTCTTTCTTGGAGTTCTTTTCCAGTTCTTTTGTTACAAAGGAGAGGGGTTATAGGAAATACTCCTTTAAATATCCTGCTACAAGAAAAAGGTCAATCGTGGGACATTTGACTTGGAAACTTAACACAAAGAAACAAAAGCCCCACTTTCCCAGAAACCAGAGACGCTGGTTTTGGTTCCTCTGACTGTGCCCTACCCCCTGGTCAGGCCCTGGTCGAGGTCTGTGTTGGCAAGTGTGAGTGGCTGTGGCCATTTCATTCCCCTCCACACCCTTCCTAGGAAGCCTGCTAGATGCTTAGGAGGTCAGGGCTCAACCATCCCCACCCTGATACACCCAAGAATGGCCAGGGGGTGGGAGGGGAAGGCTGAGATGACTGAGATGAGAGTATCTGGGACACAGTGACACAGTGACTGCAGAGTGACTCAGGAGAAGGCCCCGTGTCTGGCTCCCAGTGAGACCACAGCCCAGGATGACTTGCCACAACCAGCAGGCTCAGGCTCTGGGTTTTGGGCATGAGCTCCAGGGGCCCTCCTTCCCTGCCGTCCCTCCTGGTGCTGCTGCTGCTGCTGTAGGTGAGCGGGCTGGGACCCACGATTTGTACCTGTGATGATCTCTGTGCCGGCTCAGGGACCAGGATTGAGTGTGACCCAGCTGAGACTGGCAGGAGTGATGCTGCAGAGATCTAGCAGGGTGTGGGCAGCGAAGAGCCAGGAGTTACACAGAGGGCTCAGGCCACAGTCTGGGGGAGTGGTGAGCCAGGCTAAGGGTGCTCCATCCAAAACTGGGCTATAGCCCTGGCTGGTTGCCCTGTGGTTAGAGCGTCGGCCTGAGGACTGAAGGGTCCCAGGTTTGGTTCCAGCCAAGGGCATGTACCTCGGTTGCAGGCTTGATCTGGGCCCTGGTCAGGGTATGAGCAGGAGGCAACCAATCGGCGTGTCTCCCTCACATTGATGTTTCTCTCTCTCTCTCTCTCTCCCCCCCACCCCCTTCCACTCTCTCTGAAAAGCAATGGAAAAAGTATCCTCTAGTGAGGATTAAAAAAACAAAACTGGATCATACGCACACACCACTTTATTTACATTTATATCAACAGACACACATTTTCCACCAATTCTTCTGTCCACACTTTACGTAAGACTGAGACCATCTCAGTTGTGTAGGTTGTTAAACAACATTCGAATGGGCACATGTTAAAGATCTTACTGGCTTTATCGAGTGATTGGTGAACCGGGCAGCATCCTGTCTCTCGCACAGGCAGGAGGTCTGAGGAGCTGCCAGGAGAGTGCCACAGGCAGGGGGCGGGAGGAAGCTACGCTGGCCCAGGGCTGGCTGGCTGTGGCAAAGGCACCTGCCTTTGGGGGCGGCGGGGGTCTGTCAGGCTGCTGACCAGGTATCCAGCTTGATGGGTTTAAGAACCCACTCCTGGGAGAGGGTTGTGATTCAGCGTTACAGGTATTACGGTATTAAGCCTTCATTTGGTGACGTAGGGCTGAGCACAAGTGACTTCATTTTGGGCCTGTTGTCTCTTTACATTCCCAGTGCTTATTAAAGTGCCCGGCCCAGAGCAAGGGCTTGTTCCTTGGCACTTCGTGGGTGGAGTTAGTGTGGCGGAGGCCTGTTGGCTGTGACTTGCCTAATCTGCTTTCTGTGGAGGGGGGAGAGCTGGGAGGCTATAGCCTTGCTGGTGAGTCCCCCCCCGAGGGGGGAGGCAGCACAGTCCTCCGGGCAGAGGCTGTGGGGCTGGATTGGACCACTCGGCTTCCTCACCAGGCCCCTCCTCTTCTGGCTGCAGAACTGGGCTAATCACTTGACCTTGGTGCTCACCTTGGCCTAAGCTGGACTCTTCTAGGGAGCTATAAAAATCCAGATGCCCTCCCCAGAGGTTTAGATTGACCTGATGTGGGGAGGGTGGCCCGGGCCTCAGGGTTTGAACTTCACCGGCTCAGCTGTATCTTCTTCCCTCGAAAGGGGAGCTAACGTCAGTACTTACTGGGCCTGGTTGTGAGACTAAGCAGGGAAGCGCACAGCAGGGTGGGCCCAGCAATGGCCTGCTGGTGCGCCATCTGCCTGTCTGTGTCTTTCTGGCTTTCTGGCCACAGTGAAATGGTTGGCGCTATTTATTCAGTGCCCATGCTGCAACTACTTATTGGATACTTACACTTGAATAAGCACTGGGATGTAAAATAAACGGAATAGGGGAAAATCCCTCTACGGCGCCCACCCACAGTCAAGGTGGCTCCCTGAGAGGGGCGCCCTGTTGGCACCGGTAGCTTGGCATTGGGAGCACTTTCTTGGTTACTTTTTGCCACAGTGAGCTGTGAGTGTTCTCACCGAGTTAGCTCTTCTAGGTCACCATTGCTTTCTACTCCCCACTCCTCTAATCTCCAAATTTGAAACTGGGACTCATTCTGCAGAGAGCTGTCACGTCTATAACCCGTCTCTTCTGAAGTCCCCACCCAGGGTGTTCATCACCCTGACTAGCAAAGACACAGCTGCGCCTCTCCTGCAGTCTCTGTCCCCTCGAGAATACTACCAAGAGCCAGACAGCTCCCGCCTGTGTGGCTGAGGCTCAAGCTGGGGAATTTTAAACACAATTTTCACGTCACTCTAGATAATGATGACAAACTGACCACATGTTGATATGAATCACATTTTTATGAAAAATAACCCTATTTTTTAAAATTCCACTTAGTTTGAGGAGTGACACTTTTGTATTTTTGCAAATCTCTTGAACGTGATATAAAAGCTGATGACTGGATTCTCCTGCTAGTCTGCATTCGGCCTGTTGTAAACCTTGTTTGGTTAAAACACGTGAAAAATTCCAGACTCACTCAGATATGTATATGGAAAGGGAAGAACACAGTACTTAATAGCCCTGAATTTGACAAGTAGTTTTTTTTTAAGGTTTTAAAAAATTGAGTTTTAGAGAGAGAGCAAAGGGGAGGGAGAGAGACAAACTAAGGTGTGAGAGAGAAACATGGATCGGCTGCCTCCTGCACGCCCCCCACTGGGGATAGAGCCGGCAACCTGTGCCCTGACCAGGAATCGAACCAGCAACCTTTTGGTGCACAGGATGAAACTCAACCAACTGAGCCATACCGGCCAGGGTGACAGGTAGTTTCTTAACCCTTCCTTGCAATGTGGAACATGACTGTCTGTTAATGAACTTACTCTGATATTGAAACCATCGGTCTCTTCCATTCTGGATGACTCTTACCTATGCAGGATTTTGGAATGTGATGTGTTCATCATTAGGAAACTCTTGGCTCATTCAGTCATGTAGATCTTCCAAATGTTGACACATTTTATTCCACAAGATAAAATCACATTTATGCCCTGGCTGGGTAGTTCAATTGGCTAGAACATCATTCTGATACGCCGAGGCCGTAGGTTCAATTCCTGGTCAGGGCACATGGAAGAAGCAACCAATGATGCCTGAGTAAGTGGAGCAACAAATCGATGCTTCTCTCTCTCAAATCAATTTAAAAATCACACTTATTAATAACTCCATGGATATATCAGAAAAAACTGTTAAGTACTGGGAGAGCTGTCAAGCTCATAGGAGCAGACACACATTTTCCAAAATCCTGCTTTTTGCTTGAAAGCTTACATTTTATTATCAGCAACATGATGCTGTGCGCTGCTTTTCTTTAAGTGACAGGCTCAGTCTGTTCCCTGTCCGTCAGGCGTCTACCCGAACAACCACAGCCTGTCATCCTGTCAAGTAACTGCTGTTCCGTAGACACAGCGGCCTGGTCACTGGCCGCTAGCAATCACCCAGTGCTTCTCCCTGGGGCAGCCCGCGCTCGCAGGCGCAGTCCCGCTTTGTGCCCGCTTCCCACCTGGCCACGAAGTGCCAACGAGACGTCCTGCCCACTCCAGAGCTGCGGCGCAGTGAGAGCCGTAAGTTTCACCACAGTTAAGCGAATGCACCAACGGCTTCATTCTTAAATGCACTGGAATTTTTTCTGTCTTCCTGTCTCTCTCCTGCCTGTGCACGGGGAGGAAGACTCGTGGCAGCTAGCGGAGCCTGGGGCCTTTGCCTTCCCTGGGGCTGAGGCTCCAGCAGTTTCCACACCGGCGTCCTGTGTTCTCAGTGCAGGCCTCCCAGTATTATTATGAGTGGTTGGCCTGTGGACTCTCTGATAAGGTCGGGGAGACTGGTGAGGGATGCTCTGCAAACTGCTGCTTCAGACAGTTTCTGTTGGGTGTGGGTGTTACCAGCGTGGCATTTTTTTTGGTAATAACTAACGACTGGAAATAACCTAAATGTCCTTCCCCAGGAGCATGGATGAATAAATCATCCTCTATTCATTAGTGAACTGCTATATGGCAGTGAAAATGAATACCCTGGAATTATGAGTGTCAACACTCACATGCCTACACATGCGCATGAGCACACACAAACATATGCACACACACAGACATGCATGCATGCACACACACGCACACACACAACACACATGTTCAGTGTTGGTTTTGACAGAAACTTCAGATGTCTTTCATTCTCTACAGTTTTACTGTATATGTGTGCGTGTGTTTTGAGGGGGTGAAGGTTGTTGAGATATAAAATAATAAATAACCCTCAATGTAAGTCATTATGTACTAAGTTCTATTATTTTATTGATTACTATAAGATAAAGTCCAAAAATAGGAAAGAACAAAACAGAAAAAGCCCACTGGAATCCCACAACCCATTACCACCTGGTGCATTTCACAGGTGCACACATCAGCGTGTCTGTGCTGGGCCTGGGCAGACAGCGTGACCCCACCTTTTCATTTCATGGCTGTAAATGTCCCTACCATTGGTAGCAGGAGGGCAGAAGTCTCTGGTTAGTTCTGTATTTACACAAGATAAGTGGTAATTATGAATTGAGACATCAAGAACAAGGAATTATATTGTTCAAACTAAATGCAGTTCTTTCCTCCCCCTAATTCTTCATGATTTGTGTTTGTTCCTGATTCTGATAAGTACATTCCCTACTAATTAATGTCATTTCTATTTTTAAGGTCAACCTCATCAACAGCTTCCGGCAAGAAAATGATGACCTTACTCATCAAAGGAAGGTGGGTTTGGAAGTCAGCTTCTTTATAAACCAAGTGAGGCTCCACTTCGCTGGGGGACTGGGTTGCAGTTGTGCGTGGTCAGGGTCCTGGTGATGTTTGGCTGGCAGAAATGACTTAGTAACTGGATGTGGGCTTTTAGAATCTGACGGGCTGCCAAAGGATCGCAGATGGTGCTTTGATGTCTAATTAGAATATGAGCAATCTGCGAACATCAGAGATCAGCCCGAGGCGGATCCACGCCATTTTCTTTTTTGTGGGAACAAAAGAGTGGACTGAATACTTCCAGTGTGGCTGTGGCACCCAGGGCTGCCCACTTGTGCCCACCCCCACGCTTGGGCCACCTTGGGCCATTTCCTTCCTCACGTTCTTGTGGTCAACTCACTTCCTAATTCAGTCATTTTTTTAAAGTACATTTTTATGGATAAAAATTAATGTGACAATAAACTAGGTTCATGTGTAGTAAGTAGACGGTAACTGTGAAACACACGTGATATAAACACAACCGCGCTGTTAAATTCTATCTACAGTCTCTTGCTTGACAAGTCTCTGACCCTAATGCTGAGTCTATGTCTCACTCTTTCTGTCTTGGTTACAAGGAGATCAGTAGAAAGAGAGGTTGTAAAGCCGGGCCAGGCGTGGCTCAGCGGTTGAGCATCAACCTAGGATCCAGGCGATCAGGGTTCGATTCCCGGTCAGGGCACATGCTCGGTTGCAGGCTCAATCAATGACTCTCTCATCATTGATGTTTCTATCTCTCTCTCTCCCTCTCCTTTCCTCTCTCTGAAATCAATAAAGATATATTAAAAAAAAAAAAAAAAAAAAAAGAGAGGTTGTAAGGACCCATCAGCCCTGAATGGCAACTTCTCCTCGACGATTTCAGACAGAGAGGGAGGGAGCAACTTCTCCCTCATTCCACTACTTGCACGTCTGCTACAGGACAGGCGTAAGCACACAGTTGGCAGTGACCTTCACTGCTATGTCTCCATCACCCCTAAAATGATCCCGTGGGTCCTGGGGAGTCTCTGGGTGGCACATGCCTCACGATTTAGGAAACTCTGCGGTTAGGGAGCAAACAGGCACGTGGCATTTCTAAGCATCAGAGGCTGCTGTGAGGATGAGAAAGACACCACGGGCCAGCCCAGTGCCTGCCAGCACCTCCCGCTTCCTGCTAATCACTGTTACCCTCTCTCCAGGGAGAGAGCCACCCACCTCTGCGGCGATACAAGAGAAGATGGGTTGTCACCACCTTGGAACTGGAGGAAGAAGACCTCGGGCCCTTTCCCAAATTTGTTGGAGAGGTAAGGCAGCTGCTCTTTCCCTGGGAAAGGCCACCACTGTCCCCTGGATTAAGCAGGGCCCGCATGTGCCAGTGAGGCCAGGTGGCCGGGTGCGAGGAGGGACAGTGCTCTGTGTTCGCGATGCCTCCTCTGCCGAGTGGGTGACTCCTCCGCGGAGTCTCATTGAGAAAGCCGAGGTCACGTATGGCAACGGGCTGGTTAATTCCAGCCTGTAGGTCTGAGTTATTTGGCCAAGCAGAGTCTTTTTTAAAAAAATTCATTATTTTAAAATAACTAAAAATAAGGAGACTGTAGTTACCAGAAACTGGGAGGTAGGGGCAAAAGTGAGATGAAAATAAAAAAGGAAAGTAGTCCAGTGGTTGCCAGGGCTGGAGGGAGGGGGTCATGGGGGGCGTTTAATGGAGACAGAGTGTCACTTTTGCAAGATGAAAAGAGCTCTGGAGATGATGGTACTGAAGGCTGCACAGTATGAATGTATTAATACCACTGAACTGTGCACTGAAAAATGGTCAAGATAGTAAATTTTATGCTGTGATTTTATCACAATAAAGAAATTAGAAAAAATTGGGAGATTGTATTAAAAGTTCTGCCTTCTATAGACTTCTAAAAAACTGTAAGATCTGACCATATGGAGCCCATTCTCACATGGCAGCAATCAGATGGGGCTTGAGGAACCCAGAACATCCCAGTCCCCACTGCTCCCTACTGTCTCCCTCACTCTGAGACTGAGGATCAACTGAAGCACCAAAGACGACACGTGGTGATGCTGGAATGCCAGAATTCTTACGCTTGGCCCATGCCATTTATTTCCACCACCTTTCTGGCCGTGATGGGCCTCTGAGTGTCACACTGAGTGACTGAGTCCCCTACAGCCTGACATTCTATGATTCCTAGAACAAAATGAGGAATAACTCATTTTTAAAATGTTTATAAAAATAGTATATACCTACTATAAAAACCATCTATAGGAAGTTTTCAAGGTTCAGTCATTAAAAGTGTGAACTCCCAAGAGTCGGGGAGTTCCTGTCCAGACACCCCAAGTCCTTCCTCTACTAGAGGCCCTCGCCGCTTCCTTGTGGACACAGTGCAGTCAGTGACTGTGCTACCTGCAGGGCGGATCCCAGATTAAACAGGTCAGGATGAGTACGGCGCGCAGAGCGGGCTCACTCGGAGCTCTTCCTAAATGCCAGCCCGGACGGGCAGCCACTACGCAGGAGCTGGCAGGTGTTCCGTCAGGTGCTGCTCTAGATCCACCACGGGCATCTGTGTTAGCAGATGGGGTCGCCCTCCGCCTGCTGTCCCGCGGGCTCCTCTCCTGCTCCGCCGTGTGTCACCCTGTTTCTGGGGCAGAGTGTGGACATACGAGCCCCGGGCCCTGTGACGGGGCAGCGTCCAGCGATCCTTCCCATGTGGATGCACACTGGCGTTGCTTCCAGCTCTCACTGTTCATGGTCAGTGTGTTCCTCGTCCTTGCATCTTTGGGATCCGCTTATTTCTTTGGGACAAGCCCTCACATGGTTGTGGGTGCAGCCCCTCACTGCAGCCTCTGGGCCTCGGCCTGGCACCGGTTTATGCTCATTACTTTTTCATTTTTCTGTCCTTCCGGCTGTTCAGTAACATGTCTAATCACACGGCACTGATGTATTTAACCAGTGGGCCGGGTGTGGGTGAGTACCCAGAGGTTGGTCTGTTTTCTGTAGAAGACCATGAGAATGGAAAGATGTATGTTCACCGCCCTGTTGACCGAGAGACAACGCCGTCTTTCCCGGTGCCTAGACCCGATCTTGTACCGCGCTGGCAGGAATCGCGTCTGTGGCGAGCACGTTAGCTGTGTGCCGGTTCCGGGAGGCGGGCGTGTTACACGCCGTGGTGAGCTTCAGAAGGGTGCACGGGACCCAGGTTAATTTTGTAATCTTTAGTTTGGACTTTGGCTTTGTAAGGATTTCTGCAGTCCTATGAACTGCTACACCCCTCCGTCTGCTGACCAGAGTCCCCACAGATCAGGGTCTCTGGGGCATAAAACAGGCAAATTCATCCTTTGAAGACCCACAGTTGAATTCTAAGGAGAGAGGCACAGACAGACCCCCTGGGTTGCCAAATAGCTGATGAGCGAGCAACTGTACACCTAGGGACAGAGTCTTAGTGTGGATCCAGGTGTTCTTTATGATTTCATCACCCAACGCCACAGGCCACTGTGAAGTTGAAATTCAGGTACAAAATCAGGAAAGGGAATTAGAAAGTGAAATGCCCGAATCGCAGGCAGGTGGATCACGTACAACCCAACCTTCTAGGAAGATCTTAGCATGTTGGCTTTTGTTCTGTTTTGCCTTCTGCTGAAAAGCAGGCTTGGTTCTCTGCCTGCTGGCTACACATTAACACCTTGGCATGGAAAGGTGTTAACATTAGAGAGAATTGATGTATGCAGTTTTTCTCCCATGATCTCAAAATATTTATATACATAAGAAAGTATATACCCCTAACTCACTGACAGGTCTGCATCTCTAACTTTTAAACAGGTGGAAAGTTTCCCCGAACTCTAAGTCTTCTCCATGCTCCACAGAACCTGCAGGGCCTGTAAGAGAAGAAGAGCAGAGGTCACAGGGGACCCTGGGACAGTGCTTCCCAGTCTGTGATGAGTGCAGACCACCCGGGGTCTGGTTGTGACACAGATCCTGGCTCAGCAGGGGGCGGGGCCCGAGACTGCCCTTCTCACAGGCCTCACATGCTGAGGACGGAGGACCTGCAACGGACAGTTGTGGCGACCTGTGCAAGGGTGGAAATCTTCCGGCTGTAACAAAAGGCTAGAGCCCTTTCCACGTGCAGAAAACATCCCTGTCGCTTCTTTTCTCTCTTGTGATTCTGACGGTTATTTGATTAGTGCCACCAAGCCAAAGGCCCTGCCACATTAACAATTCTCTGCTTCCCAGGTTTACTTCAATGTTGTGAATCGCTAGACAGGAGAGATCGTGGACAGTTCCTTGACCTTCAGCGTCAGGATCAGCGACATAAACGATCACGCAGCGCAGTTCCCTGAGGAGAATTCAGTGTCAGTGTGAGAGAACCACGCAGCAGGTGCGTGCGCGGGCCTCAGGCGGCCTTCCTCCCTGTGCCCTGAGACTCTCCTGCCTGACACTGTGGCCCCGACACTGTGGCCCTGAAACTGCGGGGTACTTGCTCCCAGCTGCCGTCAGGGAGGCAGTTCCCTGTCCGCATCCCGAGGGCCCAGGCCCTGGATCAGAGCGAGTGCCTGAGGTCTGCAGCCTCAGGCTGTGCTGAGCCCGCTGGAAGGGCCACATGTAAATACGGATCTAAATCAAGGCCCGGTGCCAGGAGGGAAAGGCAGAGCTGGGTGGCGAGTTCCCGCACATGGCTGTGAATTTCTCTCCTGGAAGGCATCGAGTCTGAGCTACAGATTCTGAGTCTTTAAGCCAAACCACTCCTAGTAGAATGTGCATCTATTTTAGTAACAAAAGGCATTATTTAGTTTGTGAAATGGTCTTTAGAAAACTTGAAAAATTCCGAGAAATGAAAACTGAAATAGAAAGCGTCTTTAATACCATCAGTAGAGAGAAGTACCATTACTGTTTTAGTTTCTATCCTGTCAGCAGTTTTCTTTGCATTTTGTGAGTGTGTATGCACAGTTATACTTGTGTGTATATATTCACAGATTTTATATATAATTTCAAATGCATATTGTTGTATGTACACACATTTAAAAAATCATCATAGTAAAAATGTATATGGGTAGGTATTAAATATTTACAAATATAGGGGCTTGCTTATTTATGTTTACTCGTGAATTTTCTATTTGTAATCTAACAGTATCCTACAGTATCCAGTAGTGAAATATTTTATTTTATGGATGTGTTTTAAGGTATTTCACTAATCTCCTATTGTTGGACATTTGTGTTTTGTTGCCACTCTTCATGTTCATAAAATATGCTCCAGTGAACATATCTGAGCTAAGTCCTGTCCCATCCAAGCACATTGACTTGGTATAGATTCAGGAGGTAGAGACGCTTGTGTGAACTGCACCGTTTGTGTTCCGATTTAGGGGCCCCCAGCAGCGGGGCAGTGACGGTCCCCCGACTGCAGGCTTGAAGGCTTGGGCAGGCTTCCTGGCCCTTTCCGCCCCCCTCCCTTTGCCCACCTCCGTTAGTGTGATTCTGTGTTCTTCCTGATTTTAACCTGTCCATTCTGTATTAAGAGTGCCTGTGTCTGCCATGTACATCTCAGATGTGCTCTCCTGGGCGATCATTTCCTTTTAAATTTTGTCTGTAGTTTGTCACACATTTAAAACCTATCTATCAGCTCTGACCTTTAAGTGTTCTGCTCTTGCAGTCATAATCTTGACTGTAAATACGCCTCTTTTGTCATGTCTGGTCTCTCTACAGTTTGATTTTGTATTAAAATATATCAGCTATTCTGGGGTACACCCCAGTGCCGGTCAGCAAAGCACCACCCTCCTACATCTGATAAGCTACCTTTGGCCAATAGTAACAATTTAAAAATTCTTTCCAGGTCAACCTATTTTTCAGATGTTAACCATTGATTTGGATCAAGAAAATACTCCAAATTCTCAAGTCCTTTACTTCCTTGTTTCTCAAACACCATTACTGAAGGACAGTGGCTTCGAGATCGACCGTGACAATGGAGGAATATGACTCTTGGGCTGCTTAGATTATGAGGTTATATGGTTTTTACTATTTCACAATGAAATGCTTGTCTCTGAGCCAGGACACAGCACTGCCATTGCCAGTGGGAAACCCTCTGGTGGGCTTGCTATTGAAATTCTCAAATGGGATGTCTCCTTATTAACATTTCCCTTCCTGCATCCAGAGGGCTTGACTTCCCTTTTCTTCCCCACACAGATGGCTCCTAGGTTTACACTTCTAATCAGAACGAGGGACTATGGGGAACCACCGCTGTCAGCCACCGCCACGGTTCACGCCAGTGTGCAGGAAGGCAACCACCACAGGCCCACGTTCACCCGGCAGGATGTAAGGTCCCCACCTGCCGCCTCCAAGTCCCAGTCCCGACATGAAGGCCCAAGCCCTAGGTGCAGTCCTACTGAGGGAGTCCCCATATCACCCTACATGCAGTTCTCCAAAATTACATAAACTAGAGCCACAAAGTGACCATATGAGTAGAGAATCACCTGATTTAGTCAAATGGGCTTGCATTTTTTACTACTTTGTGCCAAAACTGTGCTCAGAAGTTTTATGTGCATGATTTCATTAACAGTGTTGGTTGTGTGAGCCTTGTTTCCAAGGTCTTCTCCAGCTTGGTGAAAGCTGTGTCCTCAAAAGTAAGGCTGAAAGAAACAAACCCTGGTACTTGGATGAGCTCCTCTAGAAAAACTGTCTCATCCCCAGAAGTATCAAGTAGCAATCTGTTCTAAAGATCTGTTTAGAACTGATCTAAGTAACTACATGAGTTCTGTTTTAGGAGAACACTAGGATTCTTGGGTAGCTTAAACTAGGATGTATTATCATTTTTAAAATTCTTAGAGAAATGGTGCATTGCACTGGATTGAAGAGTACATACTTTTAAAGTCGCTCAGCTGTGTCAGCTGGAGGCACCAAGTTACAGGGACATGGCACCAGGATTTGTTACCGATGCTTGTTCTGCTGCGTCGGGCAGTTTCAAGTCCCTTGAGGTTGAGTGAAACAACAAGAGAAACGCCCAGGCTGGGAGGGCTGTCTACTTTCCTGCTCTTTTTTTCAATTGCATTTCTTCATCCCCGTGACGTGGACACGGTGACTGCCTCTCTCAGTACAAGATCCAGGTTCCCGAAGGCCGAGTCAGCCCAGACGTGCTGCGTCTCCAGGTCTAAGACAGTGACTCGCCTTTCACATCAGCTTGGACAGCAAAATTCAACATATCCAATGGCAATGAAGACCGACATTTTGACATTCTGACTGACCCTGAGACCAACGAAGGAATCTTGCATGTTATCAAGGTAAAGCCACAGGAACGTACACAGGCTGGGTGGCCAAGTATGCTGACATAGAAGCTGGCCTAGGTGACCACGCCGTGTCTGGAGTGCCTGAGGCACCTAGCCAGGGGCAGAGCTGGGCCAGGACTTCCACAGTGCGCCCTTGGCCCTTCCCCTCCCTGGCTCCTCCCACCAAATTAATATCGATATTAAAAGTTATTTTTTATAAGACTACGTACTTTGACATTTCATATTTTTAGACAAAATTCAATAGATTTACATAGGCCCTAAATGTTTTTTTCTGATGTGATAAAAAATATCTAAAACATTTTCTCTATCCCTGAGTTCATGTGTTTCATTCTGAATCTAAATAAATAAGAACATTTGTGCAAACCCCAGAGAGTATCACGGCTCTGGCACTTGGGCTGCTGTGCCTAATGGGGAGCCGGCCCTGCAGCGAAGGGTTGCTGTCTCTACTGACAAGGACACCAGAGCCCAGAGAGGTTGGGTCATTCTCAGGAAGTCACACATACAGAGTAGGGTTGTGACTGGGGCAGTCTGACTCCAGGGCCTTTAGTGTTAACTGCTCTCAGCTGGACCCTAGGGTGACCAGTGTCTCTGGTGCAGTGCAGGGGAGTGAACCTAGGGTCAGGCTGGGGTGGAGTCTGGGGTGGGGAAGACCTCCTGTCTGTCAGTGTCACCAGTTCCCAGGTGACGACCCACGTGCCTGGGGCTGAAATGCCCATGTATCGGAGCCTTTCTGTCCTTTTAAGTCACTGACCACCTTGTGCCCTGAATAACTGCGGTCGTTAATATGTATATTTCCTCCAGGCCCCTGATTTATTTTGCAGCAGGGCTGTCACATTAATGTTTCATTAGGTTACAGTTTTTGTTGCATTTTTCATTACCCCCGACAGATGGTGGCTCTTTCCCGCCAGCATGGGGGGGGACTGCAGACATGGTTTGACAATGAGCTGATGGCTGCCTCTTGATCATACCAAAGACAAGGTGAATAGTGAGTGAAGTGCAAAGCCACAGGCTCCGGGTCCCCTGGCCGGGCAGCAGGTGCCAATGGAAGCCTCTCTGCGGGCCTGCAGGCTTTGGATTACGAAACTCACCTGCGGCGGAGCCTTGTCGTTGCCGTGGAAAACGAGGAGATGCTCTTCCACCGTGAGGGGGGCGAGCTTCGGAAGCCCAGGGGGAGGCAGTGGCCAGAGCCACGGTGAGCGTGCAGGTGACAGGCCCCAAGGACCCGCCGGCCTTTCACCCCAGCAGCTTCACCGTCAGTGAGGTCGAAGGTGCCAGGCCTGGAACTCGTGTGGGAAGTTTTAATGCTATAGACCCAGACAGCAGCCAGTTAAGGTGAGAGGGGGAAGGAGAAAGGTGGCTGCTGAAAAACAAGCTCCTTCGGTGCGATGTTGAGGTTGCTCTGTCTCAGCTATGAAACTTCTAGAAGCCCCAGGCTCCCGTTCAACGCCTTCTTCCTCCCACGGTGCTCTCTGACCCCACCAGGCTGGACTCACTTGCTCATTTCCCTTCGCACTATAGTCTTTTTCTTGTCTTAGAATAATTGCTCGTGTGTTTCCATCTCCCTGTTTACCAAAGGGTGTGAACTGGCAGCTCCCTGGCTTCTGTGGAGCAGAAGTGTTTTTAAAAACTGTGGTAAAATGTATATGACATAAGTGTACCACTTTAAGCACTTTTCAGTGTATGGCTCAGAGGCATGGAGCACAGTCACAGTGCCCTGCAGCCCACACTGCCACCCACCTCAGAACGCTTCTCATCCTGTACAACTCACGCTCTGCCCCCTTTAAAAACAGCCCCGTCTCCGCCACCCTCGGCCCCTGGGCCACCCTTCTACGCCCTGTCTCTGTGAATGTGGCGACTCTCGGTCCCTCATAGAAATGGAATCACACAGTATGTGTCTCTTCTGTGACGCCTGTTTTGTGTAGCATGATGTCCTCGAGGGCCACCCATATGCAGCGTGTGGTAGGGTTTCCTTTCTGAAGGCTGAATAATACAGGCTGGGGCAAAGCAGGTCTACAGTAGTGAGGATGGGAAACTGTGATACATGGACTCCTGGGGAGGGAGAGTTGCTGACCTTTCCCAATGTGATGGGGGGAGGGGGGACTTCCCTACTCTGGCCCTGTGGGGCGCCTGCTGCTCTCCCAGTGCTGGCTCTGGGTGCGGGAAGTTCCCCTGCAGCACCCTCAGCAGGCAGCTGTGCTTGGCAATCCAACATGGGTCCAAGGGTGCCATCCATTCTGACAGGCCTTGGGGGATTCCAGAGAGCTGGGGGCGCTCCCTAATTAGAGTGGCGCCAGGTGCACACAGGTGAGGGGATGTGGAAGGCCATGTGGGATGCCCATCACCCACATTGGAGCCCTGTGAGCTCCGGGGGAAACGGCCCTGTGCTTCCCCTGCACACGAAGGCTGCTTTTCACGTTAAGCTACCAGCACCCACAGGCAACTGAAGGTGGTTCCTTTCCAGAAGAAGCGTTTTCCCTTGGTGGGCAAGTTACATTCTGTCCAACAAGGACCCCACACTCAGTACGCAGAGATGTTGACTCGACGTTTGAAGAGTAGTCTTCAATCTGTTCCTTCACCAATTCAGTGACCTTCTAACTTCACCATTGTCATCTCAGGATTCCTGTGTGACTTGTGATGGGAATCGTGTCTGCTGTGACCAATTCTGATTTGACTCCTGATGTAACTTTGTGACTTTCAAGACTGCATGTTTCCTTCTTTGAGGTATAAGCTGGTCCATGATCCTGCCAGCTGGGTCACGGTGGACGCACGCTCGGAGCAGTTGTCACCAGGCAGCAGGTTGACCGAGAGTCCCCTCACATGAACGATAGCTGTGGACGCTGCTGATGACGGTAGGTGTTTACTGCAAACTGGGGGAAAGTGTTTCCTTGCTCCTGAGGGAACATGACACCGGTCAGTCTTCCAGCACAAACGGGAAAAATGCAAGCCTTTCATCCCTGTGCATGTATGCCAGTGGTTATTTTTGATGATAATTCTTGAAATGGCAAACCGGGGACCAATGCTGGGAAAGGTGGAGGGCAGTCCCTCAGAGGAGACGTCACACCCATGAGGGAGAGCAGCCAGACCAGCGCCTTCCACCTGCCCGAGGCGCTCTGGCCCTCTGTCAAGGCCAAGGCGTGAGAGTTGCAGCCGTCGGGCTCCTGCACCGGGAACGGCTTATAAGCTCAGCTAAATGCGACCGCTTGGGACAGATTTGTCATAAACCCTGGTGGGTGGTTTTGTGAGCGTGTTTCAACACTTTTCTCTATGAGCCCCAAGGCTGAGGTTTAAACCTGCCAGGGCATGGAGCAGAATAAATAACACTTTCAGGTAACTGCAGTCATTGTATTTGAGGACGTGTGTGAATTCAAACCCCGGTTCTGAGGGATGTGCAGCCCTGTGCCCTGTGTGAGTCAGTCAGCAGCCTTGGTTAGGAAGCCAGGGAGTCCATGTTTCCAATCAGTCTTAGGTTAGAGGAGGAAAGGGGGTCCTTCTTCCAGGGACTTAGAAATGTAAGACAGTGGGACCCCAAGTACCCACTGCCCGGTGTCCCCAGTGGTAACATCACAACCAGGTCGCTGCTGTGGACACAGTCCAGAAACAGATTACGTCCACCCTCACGCCACACCCGTTTTCCTCCATTCCACCCTTCTTAAGAGCTGGTGTACCCGGCATTTTATGTGTTTGGTTGGACCTGCAGATGAGTGAGGTGGTGTTTTGTTAACTCGCCCTAAGCAGACGCTCTGACTTTAGAAAAGGGGCAACAGGCAGGCCTCACGCCTCCGGAGAACTCACACCGCTAAGAGGGAAATGGTTTCGGTGCTCCGCGGGGTCGTTCTTTTCCTGAGGCGGAGTCCTCCTTTTCCAGGGGCTTGTGTGCATGGAATAGGCCTTTAATTGAGAAGCAACCCTTTCCTGAATCCCCCAAGGCCACCCGCCGCAGACAGGGACAGGGACCCTGACGCTCTTCCTGTCCGACATCAATGACAATGCCCCAACTCTCCATCCCCGCCCTCAGTCCCTGGAGGTCTGCGAGTCCTTGGTGCCCAAGCCCCTCCTCGTCGAGGCAGAGGACAGCGACCTGGAACCCTACTCGGGCCCATTCACATTCGAACTGGACACTACCTGGGGACATGCAGGAGACACGTGGAAAGTGGGAGAACATTGGGGTGAGTGTGTGTAGGGGCCAGGGGTAAGAGACTAAAATGCCAGAAACCTGACTCAGGCTCAAGACAAAAAGGGATGTACTGGCTCATGTAGCAGAGGACCAGGCAGGCCTGTGTACCAGCAGATGTGTCTAGGTACTCTGGCCACCCTTGGACATTGCCTTTCCCTACCTTGGCTTGGCCTTTCTCTGGGCTCCTTCATTTTCAGGCAGGTCCTCCTCTGGGGGCCAAAGGGTGGCTACTGGGCGTCCCTGAGACTCATCCTGGTACCTGGCAAGAATAGTTGTATCACTGCATGGCTTGGGTCACCTGCCCTGCCAATCACCGTGAGTAGGAGAGGGAAGGAGATACACTTACTGGCTGGTACTGAGCCCACACCTGAACCTGGCTGGTGGGCTTGGCCTCCCCTGACTCCCATGGGCTGGGAGTTCAGGAGTGTGGGCTTCTCTACAGAACTGGGGTGCTGCTACCAGGAGGAACCACTGGCATTGGCCATCAGTATTCTCCTGTGAGTGGTCTGTAGCACCAGAGCTTGTTTTTCTCTGTGTGTATAGTTCCCAGGCCCAGGGGCTGGTAGAGTACTGGCCCTTTCCCCAAGAGGTCTGGCCTTGCTCTGGCTCCTGGGAGCGGATCTCCAAGCTCTTGGCATGTCCTGCCTGACAAAGGGTTTACCTGGGAGTCTGGGGCCATCAACAGGAACAGTGTGGCTCAGGGTGGGGCTTTGGGTCACATGGGCAGCCAACCAGGCCGATAAGACCGAGTCTGATAAGGACTCTGGATGCCTCACTCGGGTGGCTTTCCTGGCTGGCAATGTTCCATGGGTGTTGTCACTCATCGATGCCATGGGTAATGCTGTGCTGGCTCCACATGTCTGGGCTCTATCCTGCATGCTTCTTCCCTCTGTCTACTGGCATGGGGAGCCCCTGAGCTTGCAGCTGCTGTAGGAAGTGAGGGTGGTCTGGGTGACTGCCCCTCCAACTCTGCAGTTGGCTAACTTCTGTACAGAGCCTCCGCACATGGAGGCATTTGTAAATATCTGCCCAGCAGCTGTACAAATGAGGGAGCCCATGCATTCATAATTCCTTTCCCCTTACAGGCCGGTCGGTGGAGCTTGTAATGCTGAGAAGCCTGCCTCGTGGCAATTATTCAGTGCCACTTGTCATTGGAGACAGACAGGGACTTTCCCAGAGGCAGACCGTCTATGTGAGGGTCTGTTCCTGTCTTGGCGGATCCACGTGTGTGGCAGAGCCATCAGCCACAGGACCGGAGCCTCTCATGGGAGTCCTTGCCCCTCTCTGTGCAGTGTTCATGGCTCTGGCAGGTCAGTGGTCCAGGGCTGTCCAGGCTGTAAGCCAGGGGAGCGGAGCCCTCCGGGTGGGGAGCAGGTGATGGCGGAGAGCAGTGGGATGCCTACAGAATGGCTCATCGAGTCCCAGACTCAGACCAAAGGTCACCGATCTGGTCAGATGTGCAGTGTGACAAAAGCAGCTTCTAGTCAATAAGCAACAATCTACAGCAAGGGAACCCACAGAGAGACAGAAGGCGACCCCAAGGTTTGTAGTGAGGCCGGACCAGCAACACACAGGTGTCCGCCTGGGCTCCTGGGTCTGGGGAAGGCGAATAGGAGGCTAGATTTTCAAATAAACATAACATGCCTAGTGACATGGTATTAGTCAACCAAGTCAACAAACAGTTCCCTAGCACCTGAGCCATGGGCTGTGCTAAGCTCTGCAGCTGCAAAGATGATTAAGGCACATCTGACCCTGTCATTCACGCTGAGTTTCAGGTCAACAGACATGACCATGTTGCAGCCTCTGACACAGACGAGCTTGTTTAACTCACTCTGATTTGTCTCATCACAGTCGCTCTGCTTTTCCTGCTGCGATGCGACTGTGTGTCTGGAGCCAAGAGGCACAGCTGCCCTGTCCCGCATGAAGGCCAGCAGACCTTGATCACGTGCAACGAGGACAGTGGGGCCACTTCAGCCCAGGCAGTGGGAGGAAGCACTTCCCGTTTCATGACAATGACATTGGTAATGAATCTACCTGTTTTCCCACTCACTGTGCCTGCCTCTCCCGTCCGCACTCACTCATATTTGAGTAGCAAAAGGGGGAAAACATACCTGACAAAGCTGTCTAACTTAACTAAATTGGTTTATTATTTTAGGTCAGTGGTTCTCAATGCGGGGTGATTCTGTCCCCCAGGTGACATTTGGCAATGTCTGCAGACAATTTTGATGGTCACAGCTCAGCTGGGGTGGGGAAAGGATGCTCTTGGTACCTAGTGGCTCGATCCCAGGGATACTGCTAAATGTCTTCCAATGCCCAGGATGATCCCATAACAGAGAAGTATGTGGCCCATGTGTCAGCGGTGCTGAGTTTGAGAAACCTTGTTTAGGGGAAAAATGGTTTTTACCAGGTAGAGTTTCTCTCAATGGACAAAGTGCTGGGCTCACTAAATGAGTCCACACTGGATTCTTGGCCATGGCCTGGGATAGAGGAAGGCAGAACCCCTCTCCCATCCTACTGGGCAGAGACTGAGCTCACTGGCCTTAAAGGGACAAGACCCAAGCTTGCATCCTATTAGCCTCGTCATATTGAGCATGTCGTTTAACCCCACATCCTTCACTATGAATCAGGGATGATAAAATTAACCTCACAGATTTGTTGGGAATCAAAGAAGACAATGCCCATGAAAACGTCCCATGGTCCCCCCGACACAAGGTAATCAGCCAGCATCTGCTGGCTTTTCAAACCTGCTGCTTCTGACACCAGCTCTGCCATATCTGTCGTGTTTGTAGCCCTCCTAGGCTGGGGTTGGCCGGGCCATGAGAAGAAAGCACTGAAAACTCTCCTGTCTGTCTCCACCAGGAACTAAGGTGGCTGATCTAAAAAATGAAAGCCAAAGAAATGTCAAAAGGCAACACCGAGGATGTAGGTCGCCCATCTCTGCTATCTTTGACCTCCACCTACGGTTTTCTCCTGGGAGGAGGAGACTGGTTGTAACTCATGTGACGCTCTTGGGAAAAGATCCTCCGATTAATGTTGGCTTTATGACCTAGTAAATAGTGAGACATTCTGTAAAGTGACTGGTGGCTGGAGAAGCTGGTGGTCCGCCAAGACTCCTTGGATTCTTCCCCCCTTTCTCTGCCCTATCTACCTACCAGCAGCCTTGGGTCACGCTGCAGATGTACATGCCTGTGGTCCACACGGACTCACTCTGAGCCTTTCCTGGTGTAGGGACGAGAAGGCAGGAGGCTTGGTCCAAACTATGCAGATCGCTGGGTCCTCTCACCCCAACGATGAGAGCAGCAATTAACCTGTTTGTTTGTGTCATCTGAAGGAACTATCTTGACAACCACTAGTGCTTTGTGTAAGGGATAAATCACCCTGCCTCAGGCAGTTCCACTCTGCTCTGAAGCTCTACCATCCAGCACAATGGAAATGGCTCCCTGCTGGCCTGGGGACTATGCTTAGCCTCCTGCTTGGTGGGATGCTGCTGAGGCTGTGGAGCTCGGAGGAGATGTAGCGAAGTAACCTCCCCGAGCGCCAGCTGCCGGCACAGCCAAGGGGGAAGAGGTCACGGTGATGCCCAGGCGCCGCTCTTGTTGGCCGGCAGCTCAGGAGTGGTCTCCTGGGAAGGAGGAAGCGCGACAGAAGCAGAGCAGGTGCGAGGGAAGCTCCCGAGGGCAGGCTCCGGCCAGGCAGGCGGGAGGGAGCCTGGTGGCAAATGGCACCGGTCAAGGACCAGCCGTCGGGGAGGAGAGCCCCCTGCAGGCAGGACACGGGGTCTCTGTCCTCTTCGGGTACCAGGACATTCTTCCCCTTGTCTCCTACAGTTCAGGATACACCCCATTTCTGCCAAGGTACCTTTAGGGCTCTGAGCGCCGGGGACACAACAAGCCTGGGTTTAGATGACAAAACTGTGGCTTCGATACATAATCTAAGTGGCCCTCGACGTTCATATGTAAAGTGAGGTTAACAACGTTTTCTCTCTGACTTAAATTTATCCGACGATTTAAGCAAATAACAAAATATGCATGGGAGGTCTTTGGCACAGACTAGGGCGCGCCAGTGTTACAGCGATTACCGCCACGTCTCTGTGGCCACTGGTCGGTGAGGCCATCCCCGGTCCGTGGCGCGGGCGCCCGCCTGCACCTGCGCGCTGCCCGGGCCTTGCTGTGGCCCGGGGCACTCGCCTCGCCCCAGACGCCACCGCGGATGCCCCCGCCGTCCACCGAGAACTAACTGAAGGCGGCCGCGCTCCAC